AGACGTGGAGAAGAGTGAATATGAGTTGAGGTACGATCGGATCAACCACTATGTGAATGCCATGACCCTTACTCTGCCATGACCCTTAGAATGCCATGACCCTTACTCCAATCCACCCTCAAAAGGCTGAGAGTTTAGAGATCAAGGAAGTCCATAGCTTTTGTTCAAAATTGATCAAGTTTTACCGTGGTTTCCCTTCAACTAGTTACCAAATTTATGTAAATGTGGAATGTTAAAAGTCGAACTCTTAACTCGAGAGGTCTCGGAGTTAGTACTGTAGGACCAGAAGATGACTCGAATTTTTGAATGGTTGTTATTAACGGATTGGAACAGGGTTGCCTCAATATAGAGGATGACTCAGAGAATCAGTTGATAGATGATGCTCCGCCAGAACTTAAAGTAGAGATTAAGTCAACTGTGAATGAATTGAAAGAAATCAATCTTTATAAGTTCTCTACTCAATATAGAAGAATCCACAAAAATTGATAAAGTTACTGTCAGAATTTAAAGATTGCCTTGCATAGAGCTATGATGAAATGTCAGGGCTGTCATTAGAAGTTACAGTTCACAAGCTCCAGGTGGACAAGCTCCTAGAATAATGTGCCTCGAGATAGAGCAATAAGTCATTATAGAGGTAAAGACGTTAATAAATGCTAACATTGAGCGTGAAGAGTAGTACCTGACATGGTTAGCCAACATTGTGCCAGTTAAGAAGAAAAATGGACAAATCTGTGTATGTGTCAACTTTAGGGATTTAAACAAAGCATGTCAAAAAAGATGAGTTTCCATTATCGATACCATAATTAATGGTGAACATCACATCGACTCATGAGATTTTCTCCTTCATGGATGGATCCAGAAGATATAACCAAATCAAGATGGCTCCAGAAGATGCAACACTTACAGTATTCAGAATGTCGATCAGAATTTTTTGCTACACAGTAATGCCATTCGGATTGAAGAATGTTGGGCAATGTATCAACGAGCGATGATGTGATCTTTGATGACCTCATTTAAAACCATGTAGAATCCTATGTGGATGACTTGGTCATCAAAAGAAAATAGAAAATAGATAATTTGTATGATTTGAGGATTGTATTCAAACAATTACGACAATGTAATATCACAATGAATCCCTTAACGAGTGCCTTTGGCATCACCACTAAGAAATTTCTAGGATTCGTTGTTCGTCTCCGGGGATTCGAGATCAACCCAGATAAGATTAAAACTATCTTAAAAATGCCTCCTCCTAAAACCTTGAAAACTATGTTCCTTCCAAGGAAATTTGACATACCTTAAAAACTTTATTTCTAATATCTTGTCTAATCTCTCAGGCAAGTTTCAGCCCCTTGGCATTAATTAAAAAGAACGCCAAATTTGTTTTGGAAGAGAAATGCTAACTGGCCTTTGAGGATGTTGAGCAATATTTAATGGCACCTCCTGTTTTGGCAACCCCTATCCCGGGAAAATCGTTGATACTTTATACCACGACCTTAGATGACTCTCTCGAAGCTTTGTTAGCTCAAGTCAATGACGAGGGTAAGAAAAATGCACTCTAGTACTTGAGTAGCCGTCTAATACAGATGGAAGTAAAGTATCCACCTATCAAGAAACATTGTCTAGCTTTAATTTTTACCGCCCATAAGCTTAGGTATTACATGCTTTCTCAAAAAATTACCATTATTTCGAAGGTCAATCCATTACAATATTTGATGACCCGACTAACACTATCTGAACGTTTAACAAGATGATCAATGATTTTATTGCAATTTGTTATAACTTTTAGTCCCCTCTGTGCTATCAAGGGATAGATTTTAGTAGATTTACTCACAGTGCACCAACTTCTAATTGAGTCCCCTTTCAATGATGAGCTACCAGATGAATAGATACTGCAAATAGCATAGTCAATGCAAGAAATTAGGAAATGTACTTTGATGGGGGCTTCATTAGCTAGAAAAGATAAAAAAAGAAGAGATAATAATACTAGGCAAAGTAGAAATTGGTCTAATTTTCATCACACCAGATAAGGGTATGTTGAGATTCTACTATCACCTGACAGAGCTGTGCATAAACAATGAAGAAGAATATGGAACATTGATCACTAGATTGGAATTGGCAATCTCAATAGATATAACACACATGACCATATATGGCGACTCACCACTCGTCATCCAACAAGTTGCCAGAAAATATAAGATTTTGAAACCAAGGCTAGCAGAATACCACCGGAACGTGATGAATTTGCTGGAACAGATTCCTAGTGTGAATCTTGTTGGATTCCTTGGGAAGATAATGTTCATGCTGACGCTCTAGCAATACTTGCTAAGGAAACGACATGTCAACCAGAGGATTCCATCAACATTACAGTACAAGGATGTCAGGTTCTATCTTGGATCAACCTTGATAATTTACACAGCTCAAGAATGAAGAAGGGATGATGATTGCATTTGCTGACATTAACAAAGATTGGCGTAAGCCATTGATAGAATATTTGCAAACTAGAAAGCTACCAAAAGACAAATTTGAAGCATATCACATCACAAGAAGAGCTATGTCATATGCTCTAGTGGGTGATGTCCTTTATAGAAGATCGTTCGATCAGATTTGGCTGAGATGTCTAAGCAGGGCCGAAGCATAAAACATCATTAAAGAAGTACATGCCTGATTGTGTAGAGCTCACCAGTCAGTGACAAAAATGAAAATAAGGTTTAAAATACTCAAATATTATTGGCCAATGATGATATTCAATTGCATAGATACATCCAGAATGTGTCACTTTTGCTAAGTACATGGGGTGGTCTTACACCAACTTTCGAATGTGCTACACCGGCCATTGCCTCATCACCATTTGAGTGTTGTGGCATGGACATAATAGGCCCGATAGATCCTCCATCATCTAAGGGACATAGATTTATTCTTGCAGCTATGGATTACTTCTCCAAACGATCAGAGGAAGTGTCGTTACGAGAGGTTACAACACAACACATTCTGCAATTTTTTAAGAGTCAGATTGTCTACCATTTTGGTGTACCATGCAGAGTAATTTAGATAATGGAACAGCCTTCAAGAGCACAAAGATCAACAACTTTATCAAGCAACATGGGATAGACTAGAGATACTCTATAATTTACTATCCCAAGTCAAACAGACAGGTCGAGGCCTTCAACAAGATGCTCGTGCAATTTTCAAAGAAAACATTGGACGAGAACAAAAGCGGATGGCATGATAAACTATTAGAAGCTCTGAGGGCTTACCGAACAATATTCAGAACTCCCACTCATTGTACACCCTACGCACTTGTATACGGGTACGAGGTCATCCTACCATTAGAAGTCTAGGCACTCTCTCAGAGTCATCATCACCAATCAAATCATAATAGAAGAATGTCCAAAGCTCAAACTTGAAGAATTGGAAGGTCTCAAGGGAAAATGATTAGAAGCACAACAACATTTGGAGCTCTACCAAGCATGGATGGTTCAAACTCATGACAAATTGGTCCACTTAAGGACCCAAGGACCTTTAAAGTTGGTGATCTAGTCCTCGTTCTCAAAAGACCTATTCTTACACACCTTTAGATAGGTGGAAAATTTGAACAAACTTGGGAGGGACCGTTTGTCATAGAAAAGGTCTATTCCGAAGGACCTTGTCAGGTGGTGGATTTCCATGGCAAAAGACCTATGTTACCGATTAATGGACGATATTTGAAGATATACAACACCACGTGACATTGCTTGAAATGAATTTTTGAAAATCTTACTTGTTCTGGGGATAATTATTTGGTCAAGCGTCTGTGCCAGGCTTCAAAATTTTGTAATAAAATTAACCTCAATAAAATGAAATTTTTGAATCTGGACAATTTAATTTCCTTCTCTAGTTTTTAATTTTGAATACTCATTAAATTAAATTAAATTGAATGAATGAAGTTTGCACCTGTATAAATTGAAAATTTTTTTAATTAATATTTCGTTGTTGTTTTTGTTCTTGCTGAACTTCAGTGAGCTGATGTTTTTCTGTATTTTGCAGAAAAATATCAGGACGAAAGCTAGTTTTTTCTTTTAGATACGGCTTGAATCTTGCACTGAATAAGGAAAGGGCAGCCTAGAGCGACATTAAAGATTTTGACTTGGACTTTGGTTAGGTCAACGTGGACTACGAGGGTCCTTTGATGGACGTGGTCAGTCGCCAGGAGAAAGAAGGATTGCCATCACTGTTAAGGATTGGTACCAAAGAAGACTCCTCACTGAAGTGGAAGAAAGTAGCAATACAACAAGATCCAATGGAAGGAACCAGTTCTCTACCGTCCATGATAACTGCACCGATAGGAAATTTAGTTAGTGCTCATGATGAATGAGAGCCCGATGCATCGTAATGCCAACTCCACAAGCATAGAGCTTTCTTATGTTAGGAGAAAAGATGTATGAAAGAAGCTGAAGATACACTCACCTCGATTTTTGAGAGAAAAATTTATGACCCATGCATGAGGGAGACTTCTATCATTCCACCTGCTATAGAGGATGAGTCTGAGTTTGTTGCATAGAAAACACAACCAAAAATTCCAGATGAACTTTGCGGAGGTTGCCCAATGTGCAACGTTAAAATTCCAACACAATCATCGACACGAGAAGCAATTTCCTCATTTTGGATCACTTTAGTTCTGTTGAATAATATACAGCCGCCAACACAAGGTGTCAGGATGCAGCACACCTAGATACTGATTCATATATTCCATTGCATGCGGAGCTGAGTCAGACATGGTATCCCACATATATTGAAATGAGGGAATGACCCTGATTAACAGAAAGGATTCCTACGGCAGAACTAGAATAAATGAAAAGGAAATCCAATGAATGTTTGTCAACATCTTGGAAGGCCTAGAGCTATGTACATGAGTTTTCTCCAAAAATGATGAAAGAAGGATTCTTGATTGTGTATTGGACTTAAGGGACCAAGGTCAAGTCGGTCTATTAATGAAGAGTACTTACTAAGAGCTGCAGAAATGGATGCGTGGGAAAGACAGGGTAACCATTCAATGTGGTTGCTGCTACAACTTTGTGGAAGATAGGCTAGGGAACCCCCCAGGTATCTTGAGATATGATGAGGTGGATCCTCTGCCTTCTGAGATAAAAAAAATGATTAAAAAGATGGTCCGTTGGAGCATACTACTGGCAGACTTCATTTTGAATAGCTGCATAATCAGCATTTACAATGAAGAAGACTGTAATCCTCCGCACATAGACCACCATGATTTTGTAATACCATTCTACATGGTATCCTTCATGAGCCGAATTAACATTCTATTTGGAAAAGAAGTCGATATTGTTGGCTTTGGAGAATTCAGAGAATCCGTCGAGATTCCACTACAAATGGGATCATTAATAATTCTAAAAGGAAACGAGACAGATCTGACAATGCACTGCATTTTTAGAGTACGACACCACAAAGTTTTTGTGACATTTAGAAGAATGGAGGAAAGTAAAGTATCGCATGGGTTCCATCCAGACCCAGAATTGGAAGAGCTGCGCCCGTATGAGCTATGAGATGGTTGTACCTCTAAGTACACGTGAAAAGAATTCTTATCCTGGAGTGTGGCTTAGTAGGTCAACTTGATCATGAGCTCGGTTGTACCTCTAAGTACACGTGAAAAGAATTCTTATTCTGAAGTGTGGCTTAGTAGGTCAACTTGATCATGAGCTCGGCTAGAGGACAGATAAAAAGTTTTTTTCACTTTTTGTACTACATCAAAGCAACATGTTTCAGATGTATTTGACATGTTATGTTTTGATGCTTTAGCATGTATTCAGTTTGTACCACATACTTGAAGCAGATTAATGAAATTTCTTCCAAATTTTGATGACTTTGTTAAATTTCCCTTTTGTGCGATATATATATATATATATAATGGAAGCAAAGCCAAATACAAAGGGAATGAAAAAGGTGACAGGAGAGGGCCTATAGAAAGGAAGGCACCTCTCAAAACAACAACAGGATTTATCTAATATAAGGGAGAGGCAATAGATCACTGGATAGAAGAAAGTCCAGTGGGGGAGGAATTCTTCTGCTCACTAAGGGTTCTTCAGTAGAGAGACCCTTTCTAGCCAGTCAATTGGAGGGTATATTTCCTTCTCTGTGGATGTGGGAGAACTTGATAGAGCAAATCTTAAACAATTGATGAATACCAGAGATCCAGCTGATTAAATTCCATGGGATATCAAAAGAACCTTGGATAATTTTAATAAGTTGCAAGGAGTTAGATTCTACTCATAGCTGGTCAAAATGGCAAGATCTGGCTAAAGTGATGGCCCAAAATACAGCTTGACATTCTGCTTCATGGGAGTCTAAAACTTTAACAGGAGATTGAAAAAACAAGATACATCTCCCCTCATGATTTTTGAATACACCATCAATACCAGCAGACTGAGATTTATAGCTACCATCTGTGTTGGCTTTGGTCCATCCAAGCTTTGGGAGAGTCCAAAAAATTTCCAATATTTTGATAATGTGTGGCTTGAGATAAGGGCCCATCTCCAACACAGCTTCAAACTTTTTAAATTTAATCGATTTTTGTATAAAAGCAATACAATTGAGACCTACGCTCATAGGCTGTAGATGGGAGTTGTTATGCTTTACCTGATTTCTAGCCATCCAAACAAACCAAACCTCAATGTTGGGGATGTTTTGGGGATTTTCTGAAGATTGAATCCCCTCCAATCAGACCAGCAATTATAAAAAACCTTCCATGTAAGATACATTGTTGGGGTCTTGAGTTTACTATTCACAAAGGACCAAACTTCCTGTACCCAAGGGCAGGCAAAGAAAAGGTGGGTAATAGTTTCCTCTTGGGACTGGCTGAAAGTGCATCTGGAAGGACCCCTCAGACCCTTCAATTTCAATATATCATCAGTGGGAATCAATTTTAAGAAAAGTTTCCATATGAAAAAAGACATGGATGGGGTGAGGAATTTATTCCAAATTGTATGGCCCCAATGTACCACCAGTTGGGGAGGCTTAGAAGAGAATGAGTTCTTTTTTATAGCTATTCTGTCTTTAACTCCAGGTTTTACAAACAGTTTCTGAATATTGGATAGTTGAGAAGGGCTGCAGAAAGGAAGAATTGGAGTAAGATTCCACTTATCATGATTCCAGATGTCCTTCACAAGCAGTGAAGAAGCTGGGGCAATCAGATCCTGAAGAAGGCAGACATCCAAAGACCAATTATCCCACCAGATGTTTACCAAGCCCTCACCAATCTCCCAGACATACAATTGTTCAGCATCCTTCCTAACCTGCAACATTCTTTTCCAAATGGGGGAATCCCCTAAACCCATAGAGAGTTGGGTGGGATGTTGATGCTTGCAATATTTGCCCCAAAGGAATTCAGCCCAAAGGGAGGACTGAGATCTAAATTTGAACCAGAGTTTGCAGAAATTAGTGTGCATAATTTGAGGGAAAAACTTGAAGCCTAACCCACCCTCCTCATGGGGTTTACACACCTTAGCCCAAGATGTCCAGTGTTTTTGCTTCCTTTGGCCAGCCCAAAGGAATCTATTGAAGATCCCTTCTAACAATCTCTGAGAAGACTTTTTCAAGATGTTCATTTGCCGTAGATAGGATGGAATAGCAGATAGAACACTTTTAAGGAGTGTGATCTTACCCCCATTGGATAAAAAGGAATTCTCCCATGCTTGCAATTTGCTTTGAACCTTATCAATTATGTGATCAAATTGAATGTTCTTAGCTCTTCCCTTGATAAGAAATGCCCCCAGATATTTCATAGGAAAGTAGCTATTTTTGAACCCAATGAAATCAGTAACCCAGGTGTTTAAGTCATTTTTGCATTGTTTACTGAAATTGGAGATGCACTTCTGTTTATTTAATTTCATACCAGAAACATCCTGAAAGGACTCTAGATTCTGCATGAATAATTTAACAACAGCTTTGGAAGCTTTTGAAAAGATAATGATGTCATCAACAAAGGCCAAATGATTAATTAAGGTGGAAGATCTATGGCTATAAAGAGAATGGGGTTTCCTGGATGCTAACTCATTCAAACTTCTGGATAAGTAGTCAAAAGCTAAGATAAAAATGGTAGGGGAAAGGGGGTCACCTTGTTTTATACCTCTAGAAGCACTGAAAAACCCATGAGAGGATCCATTGATGAAGATAGAATGGAAGTTATTGGTCAGCCATCTGTTGATTAGAGAGACAAAGGAGGGGGAGAAACCTCTAGCAATAAGAACCCGTTCAATGAACTTCCCGCTGATAGTGTCATAAGCCTTTTTGATATCTAATTTCAAAATTAAGTTGCCTCCTCTAGTGATTCTGTCTAAGTCCAGTACCAATTCTTGGGCCAAAAGCACATTATCAACAATACTTCTATCCCTGATGAATGCTGACTGATTCCTGCAAATGAGATGATTTAGATGAGGTTGTAATCTTTGAACGAAAACTTTGTTGATTATCTTAGATATGACAGAAGTGAGAATAATGGGTCTGAAATCTTCCCATTTGCAAGGAGATTTATTCTTGGGAACCAAAGTAATGGTAGAAGAGGAAAAGTATTTAGGGAGGTCAGCCCCCAGAAAAAACTTTGGACAGTAGCAATAACCTCACCCTTCACAATAGGCCAGGCCTTTTTGTAGAAATCAGCAGTGAAACCATCAGGACCAGCAACCTTGGTGCTGTCAATGGAGTTTAGAGCTTCCCAAATTTCCTTTTCATCTGGAATATTAGTGAGAGATAGACTTTTAGTGAATTCCCTTTCCTTATCAAACAGTGTATCTTTAATGGCTGGTTGAGAGGATGAATTTTGTCTAAACATATTTTGAAAGTAATGTACAACATCATTAGCTATTCCCTCAGCATTGGAAATCCAGTGACCCTCTTGAGAGAGGATTTTGTGAATTGTGTTGCTTCTCCTCCTATAATTGATGCAAGCATGATAATATTTAGAGTTCCTGTCACCCTCACAAAACTTGTTTTTGTTTGCATTTTGAGCATAGAGAGCCTCTTGCATGTTGATTTGATCCAGCAGGTGTTCATTAGCTAACTGTTCATTAGGTGTTCATTAGCTAACTGAAGGTCCATTTCAGACCCTATGCCAGAGGATAAGGGTTGTTCTAAGTGTAAAAGATTTTTTTCAGCTTCAAGGACTTTTTTATCAATGTTTCCCGCCACCTCCCAGTTCCAATTTGTGAGTTGTTTACTGACTTTTTTATGTAAAAGCCAAAGCTTGATACTTGGTATTTGATGATGAACATCAGTCCAGGCCTTTGATACTTGATTTAGAAAATCCCCATGCATTGACCACATATTAAGATATCTGAATTTAGCTTTAGTTTTAGTAGAGGATGAAGATATTTGAATGAGTAAGGGTCTATGATCAGACCCACTCATAGCCAAGTGTTGGACAGAAGTATGTAGGAACTCTATCATTTACCAAAACTCTATCAAGCCTCTCCCAAATCTTCCCCCTTCTCCAAGTAAATTTAGGGCCTATAAACCCCAAATCAAAAAGGCCAGCAGACTGAATGTTGTCATTGAATGTGTTCATTAAATTGATATCAGGACGTCTCCCACCCTTCTTCTCACTAGGTGAAGAGAGGTAGTCGAAATCACCCCCCACTAACCAGAAATCCTTTATAGAGGTACTGCACTCTTGTAACTGTTGTCAAAGATCCAGTCTAGCAGTTGTTGTACAGCCAACATATATGAAGGTAGCAAAACCATGATAGTAACTGAAGTTAAGCTTCAAATGGATAAATTGGCCTCCCTCTTTAAGAACAGTGCATTGGACTTCCTTTCTGCAAAGAAGCCATATTTTATTGTTAGTATTGATAAAAAGTTGAAATCCAGGAAATTTCCTCACAAATATGTTAACATTTTTAGTGACCATTGGTTCTAGTAGAGCAATGATCCAAGGTTTATACATCCTATTGATAGCAAGGATTCTATTAAGGGATTTAGGATGTGCAAGTTCCCTAACATTCCAACAAATTAGATTCATTAACCAATAGAGGTGGATTTCCCTCTTCTCCTAGTTCTAATAGTACTAGAAGATAGAGGGGGGCATCCTCCAAAGAAGATGAATAGGGAAGTAGATTCTTTAATTCCAAAGGCATTTTCTTCTTTTTTGTTTTTTTGACTTGCCAGCCATCTTCAAGGTTCCTAGCTAATTGCAAAAGCAAAGGGTCTTCCTCTGGTAGCTCAAGAGCTGTAATCTCTTGATCAGCAGAGAGTGTAGAATGTTCAGTACAAAGAGTTTGTTCAATTTGAGTAGAATGTGACATGAGTTTAAGGTGTTCAGTTAAAGGTTCAAGGTTAATATGGGGGTTGGGTATCACACCCTTTTTTGCCATAGCTTGGGGGAGCTCTAGTTCAGTATCATCATGGGCCCTGGTCCCTGGCACTCAGTACCAGTAATAGCAGTAGGTACCTCCTTGTTCTGAGGAACAATCTCCTCTGAAAGTTGCTTGGGGGGCTTCCTTCTGAGTGTAGGATGGAGTCTGAAACACTTATCATCAGTATGACCAAACATATTGCAATGATGGCAATAGTAAGGTCTTTGTTCAGTTATGATTTTCTGCCAATATCCATTATGCTCAGTGCCTAACCAAATTTCCTCCACAGCTGGTAGAGTAATATTTTTCTCAACCAAAATTCTGGCTATAAAAGGTCTAGATAAGTTGAAAGTGGGGGCATCCAATTTCAGAGGTTTTCCCAAAGCTTTGCCAATATTGAAGAGAACTTTGTGGTTGAAAAAATGTAGTTTAAGTTCTGGTAACTTAAACCAAATGGGGACAATGGGGAGTTCTTTGTTGGGATCAAAATCAGGAGTCCAGTTTAAAAGCTTCATTGAGATTCCTTCAATTAAGATAGATTATTTAGAAAAAAATTCTAGCATAGTCTTCCTCCCTTGAGAGATTGATTAGTATGTGCCTACCATCAAGTAGGTCCACTTTCCATACCCCTTTGAATTTCAGTCCATCAAAATATCTTCTCACAGATTCTCTTCTCACAGATTCTCTTCTCACAGATTCTATCTTAGGATGGCCAAGTTGGAATTTACCAATTAAGGTGAATTTTTGACATTCTGTCAGACCATTTAGGTCCTCTTCAGTAAAATAGATAGCCAATTTCCCACTTTTCTTGCATATGGTCTTAAAAGAGGGTCATTACCCTCATGATATTCTTGAGGAAAGACCAAATAATCAGGATTTTGAACCGTCTCCTAACCTTTCCCAACAATGTCTGCAAAAGTAGCGTTGGCCCACTAAATATTGGTGGAAATATCAATTGAAGATGGGTCTGCCATCACTGAAAGAGTTTATCAGGGATAGATTGACCAAGCAGTCCACTGCCAGTGAAAACCGAAAAAGACCAACCACACAGTAGGTAGAAGACTCCAAGCAAACAGCCAAACAAAAGAAACAACAAGAAATAATGAGGCAAATCAGTAGAACAGTAAAGAAAACCTTATCAGAGATATAGTCGACCCTGAGATGTCAGCTGTCAGTGAGACACCAAAAGCAAAACCAACCCCACAGTAGGTAGAAGACAAACAAAACTAGCAAACAGTGGGGTAAAGCAATGGAACAGTAAAAATTTGAAAAACCAGAACTCGAGAAGATGTGAAAGCTTTGAGAATAGTAGAACTTGCAAGATCCAGTGATGAGATGAGAGAAATCCAATTGAAAGTAAAAAGATACAGATAGCAAAGATTAGTCCATCTACAGCAGCAAGTTGAGCCATTCTGCCGAAACCCTAGCAGAGCAACAAATGAACCAGCCGCCACCCATGGTTAAAAGAGCGGCTCGTGGCTCCTTACGCGTTAATAATAAAAAAGAAAGGTACATAAAATGGGAGGGAATGAGGTTCCCCACTAAAAATGAAGAAAAATACATTAAGACTTAAGGGTTTCTCCATCCACAACACAACTCCACACAAAAAAAGATGAAAAAATGTAAAAAAAAACTATCACTTCCAAAAATACATGTATCCCAAAAAATTATACCGAACAAAAGTAGTATACCAAAAGTTAACATGTATATAAAGTGCAAAAAGGAAATATGTGAACTGTAGGTCCAATGAACTTGAATCTACTCGTTCTCCCAATCTGAGAGCAAAAATGTAGCAATATAACAGGCCTGGAAAATAAACAAACCAGTAATATGACAACAACTTAAAAGCTGTAGACCATATTTGTTAGTAGAAATAAAGACAGTAAGTGATTGAGGCATTAAAAAAGCATTCTTTATACTCCAATGGTAAAGAGCGCAGCAGAGAAATAGAACCCAAGGAGTAGCATGAAAAGCCGGCTCCTAATGAAGCCTCCTAACTTGTAAAAATAGCAGTATGATACCATACATGGCATAAAATGCAGACAACCACCACTAAACAAACCCCAAAAGGAAAATCGTAATCTGCCTTTGCTCAACCAACCAACACAAACTTTTTCTGGCAATCTTCAAGTATAACCAACAAAAGTATCCAATAAGACATCATAATACCATAAATATCATCTTTGCAGTCCAGTAAAGATAGTATTCTTTACAGAATACACTTCTCCTAATGTTTATAGAAAATATAAAGGTATCAAGCCCCAAATTGGAGAGAATCACACTGACAGGCCTGCACCACCAAAACTTCCAACTATAGTAGTAAACCAATGTACCACACATCCTCCCCTTATAGAGAAGAAATACATCTCCAAACCTTCCAATAAATCTAGTATAAGTATTATGGGTTGTATGCCTCCAATCAAAAAAAAGCATAGACCAATACCAAAATGTCAGCTCGTGAGACACACCATAAAGATAGGTACAATAATCAATAATACAATAATATGCCTCATCTTCAAAACCCAGTAAGGTATGCCAAAGATAAAATACAGCACAGAAAAAATAGCCCCCAAAATTGTGAAGCATAATGCTATCAAAAAGCACCACATAATACAGTTCATGGTTTTTATCCACATAAGTATTTATCACATAAGAATGAATCTGCACCCACAAAAAACAAAACCCCATACCTGTAAACCAAATCAGAGGCAAAGATTGGAGCCATGGGCCTCCAACTTTAGTAATAGTAATCAAAGAGAAAAAATAGGGTCCCTTGGCCTCCAGACTAAGCCTTAAATAATGCCACCAAAAAAGGGAGCTATGAGCCTCCCAATTAAACCTCATCCCATGCCTCCAAACTAATTTGTGCATGTACGTGATGTACTCAAACCAGCGTACTTTATTCTCTAGAGGCCAAAACAGGTAACCAACTTACCAAAATCCAAAACATAATCTCATGCTAAAGTAAAGAATTGAGAAAATGAAATGTTCCAGATGAACTTTAGCTAAAGCAAGCCTTCATTATACCGCAAAAAAGTAGCCTCCAACATGTAAATAGGGAGCATCAATAATATCACCACGAATCAAATTGTGAAGGGGGTGAGGAGGAGTTTGCCTAATAAAAATACCATTATGCCCATGTTTAGCCAAACAATCAGCAGGCCTATTTCCCTCATGATTTACAAAATTATAATGAATAGAGAGATTAGAGCTGGAAACCACACTTCTTATTCGATTGATCAAAATCATCATATTCCAAAGAGGCTTAATATTGCCCATTAAAGTGTGCAATAGAACTTGAGAATTAGTTTCAATAATGATATTAGAGATACCATGGGAGACAACAATTTGTCGAGCACCCAAAACAACCCTAGTTTCAGCCTCTAGAGGAGAAGAGGCAAAGCATGGTGAAGCAAAGAAAACCAGACACTGAACACTAGCATCCCAAAAAAAACCTCCAATTCCAAACTTCTCCCCATTAAAGCTGCCATCGATATTACCCTAAATCTACCCATGAGGAGGTGGAGACCACTTAATTAAAGTTGGTCTACAAACATTACAATTTTGAGAAACTTTACCGCCCACCGCTTTGGAGGCTTTGAGAAAGTTGGCAACAATAAGAGCAACAAGATTATGGGGGGTATGAGGAGAATCCTCATACTTGTGACTATTTCTTCCAACTCAAATGAACCAAAGAACAATCATAGGGAAATAGTGGAGCTTCTTATGATTTTAATTAGAGTTCTTCCAAGTTTCCAAAATGCTCTTAATCTGGAAACTGATTGGCCATCTTATACCAAAATAGAAACTAATATGTTGCCAAACTTTGGAAGCAAAACTACCTGCATAAAATAAATGATTAGGGGATTAAGCCTCTTACTTTCAAACATAAAAAATAGAAGCCATTTTCAAACCTTTCATTTTCAGAGTATCATCAAGGAGGAGGAAGTTATGTAAAAATCTCGAAATAAAGAAAGAGATAGAAGGGGAGATGAATTGATGTCAAGTATATTTACTCCAATACCACTGAGGGTCGTTATAGAGATGAGTGTATATAATTTTAGTGATGGAGACATTAGAATGAAACTTCCACATAGGAACATCTCTAGAGGCAATTTTAGTCGGGATGTTAGCAATAGTAGTAGCTTCTTCTCCAACAAGTGTCCACAACTTATTGATATTCCAATCTCCATTAATCCAACAATCCTTAACCATGAGATCTTCATTTGAACTAGAATGAGGTAAGTTTGACATTTGGGAAGTGCTCCAGTGATCATTACAGAAAGAAATATTCACTTCGCCTATGTCCCAGAAAATGAAGTGAGAAGCAACCTTACGAGCAAGAATGATGGCTTTCCAAATTTTAGAGTCACCAACATGCCAGGAAATAATAGAAGGGTGGACATGAGTGTAATAATTATGAAGAAGAAATTGAGACCAAAGAGAGTCTTGGGCTCTGAATTTGTACCAAAGCTTGCACATATTTATATCAATAATTTCTTTTAGGGTTTTGAAACCAAGCCATCTGACTTGCAAGGCTTACAACCTTTCTTCCAACTAGCCCAGATTTTAGAGGATCTATTCACACGCCAAAAGAATTTTTAAAAAAGAACTTCAAGAGTATTTTTTGTGCTCTTCTTTATTTTTAGCACCTGCATAGAATATAAAGGAATGCTACATAGCACACTTTTAAGAAGAGAGCCTACCTCCATTGGAGAAGAAGGTGTTTCTCCAGTCATTTATTTTAGATATGATAGAGTCCACCACATCGTCCATTTGAATTTGTTTCCTTCTTCCTCTTAGAAAGTTAACTTCAAGGTATTTAAGAGGGAGCTTAGCAATCTTGCAACCAGCCCAAATTTCAATATTTTGATTGACCTTGTTGCCAAAGTAAATGGAGCACTTATCAAGGTTAAAGAGTAGGGCAGAGGTATCCTGAAAATCTTTAAGTAAATACATCATAGCTTTGATGATAGGCTTACTAGCATTAGAAAATAATACGGCATCATCTGCATAAG